GCGATATAGAAAAACGTCTGCCGAGCCAGCTAGTTTACTCTAAAATTCAAACGCATTTCGACCGTCTTTTAACAAAAATTATATGTATATATATAAAATATTGTTTTTTAAGTAATCCTTTACTGTAACTACTGTACGTTTGTGGAACTCTACCTCTCCACTTTCGTCGTGCTCTCTCGTGCAATCTCTTCATTCTTTCAAAAGTCTTATTAAAACGTATTAGTTAGAACGCTATTAGATAGATTACTTTTCCTTTTTTGCACTCTTTTCGTTTAATTTATCATATATCATACCTTCACTTCTACCATAATCTTCACTTATCTTTATTTATATGTATTTTTATATTTTTATTTTTATTCTGTACACCCCCCTTTATTCTTAACTATTGTTAGCATCAGATCTCTACGCTAAGGTTGTCTGGAAGAGATCACTTTCAGAGTGATAAGACCGCCTGTTGTACATATTCTACTTTAGATTTAACTGTAAAATAAAGAGTAAATAAATAAAATTGTATTGTCAATGTTTGTATAAAATCATTTTAGGCCCCATCCTGTAAAATCATTAAGACCACGATGGGAATCGTGGCACGCGCTATACCATCACTTTAGTAATGCTGGTTTTTATCACTATCCTGCATAGCTAGTCTCGTGGTTTAGGGTACGACCATGTGTTGTTCGTTAGAGTTATCAGAGAAAAAAGAGTCAATGCAAAAAAGATGTGTTAGTACCCTTAAACCTAGGTACCTTTGTTACCCTTAAACCTGTTTTAGAGGGACGAGGCTGCTCGCGTCCGTAGGAAATACTTGAAATCTGACAACCTACACGTGCCCCCCGGGTAGTGCTAAACGAGCAGCATCAATTCCGGTGGTAGGTTTCGGCCGCTGGCTTTTCGGTTACCACCCACCAATGCAAAGTCTTGCTGCCAAATGACTTTGTCGTGTTCCGGCATGATGCTTGGTGAAGCCATATGGAGAATGGGTCTGAATAGTAGCATTGTGTATGTAAACCGGGTACGAAGCGTCAGTTGTTGCTGCGTCGGGTGCTTGGTTGTGGAAGGTAGCGGGATCCGAAGCACGGTGTTCCGCTGGCCGACCGCAGGTAGTTGGGGGCCCAATTAGTGAATTAGCTACTCATGAAAGGCTGCCCCGCCAATTGGCGAAAAATCCCAAGGTGACCCCATCGTGCCGGTTAGTGACCGGGCGAGAGGACCCGATTGCGATCTCTGGAGGGGTTCGGGCGTCCCCGCAATCTCCGGATTAAGCTCCCATGGGCACAGTAACTCTGATAGTATCGTTTGGTTGCTAATGCAACGCTTCGCTCAACTGCCATTCGCCATCCTTATTCACTCTCAACACATAATATGTAAAGAAACAAAGAAAAGTAGTGTTAAACAGCGGTTGCACGTCCTCTCACTAAAAGTGCACCTCACTAATATTCGAGGATTGCACTCTAATCTCAGCGCAGTCCATCACCATCTTGAGACTGAAAAGCCGCACCTACTTTTCTTCACAGTGACGCAAATTGAATGTCCATTGAGTGCGGCGTACCTTGACTATCCTGGATTCTCCCTGGAGCACAAATTCCATTCACGTGCCGGAGTATGTGTGTACGTCCGCAATGACATCTGCTTCCAGCGTCTCTGTCACCTTGAAGACCCCACTTTTTCGACAATCTGGGTGATGGTAGATACAGGTATTGATAAAATCCTTTATGCCTGTGTCTATCGATCGCACAGCGGTGACCAGGAGACAACATGATTTGATCACCTTAGTGAGGCTGCTGACGTGGCCCTAAATCAGTATCCTACAGTTGGTATTTCTGAAGGACTTTAACGCTTGTCACCAAGACTGGCTGTTCCCATACCAAAAGACCGACCATGCTGGAAGAGAAGCTTGGAATTTTGCTTTGACGCTAGGTCTTTCTCAGGTGGTAAAGGTCGTGACTAGGGTACCCGATGTAGACGGTTACACAGCAAATTGCTTGAACCTTCTATTGACTACCGAACCAGACAGATATGAAGTACAGGGTACTTCTCCTTTGGGTACATCTGACCACTATCTGGTGAAATCTGTATCGTCATATTCTCCACCTGATTACGAGTCACAAGGTGTTAGACGAATATGGCGGTATAAGTCAGCTGTTTGGGATGAGATGCGACACTTTTTTGCATCTTATCCTTGGCGGGAGGTCTGTTTCTCTTCTGCGGATCCGTCGAGCTGCGCGGTTGCGATAACGCATGTGTTGCGTCAAGCTATAGAGTACTTTATCCCCTTCTCTGACGCTCCCACCGGTAGCAAAGCCCGCCCATGGTTTAACGCTGAATGCGCCCAAGCTGAAAAGCGCAAGCATTTAGCTTAACTATCCTGGGTTGACGCTCGAAACCGCAAAGCTCGGGATATTAGCTCCAAGAAGAGAACTTTTAACCAGACTGCCAAGTCCTAAAAAAAGCATTACGGAAAGCTAGTCTCGATCGCATTAAACATATCGGCGCAAAACTCTCTGCCAGACCATCCGGCACTAGAGCTTTTTGGTCTCTCGCCAAAGCGGCCGAGACAAACTTCTGTCGGCCTACACTGCCTCCGTTGGTAAAACCGGATGGCACACTGGCGCATACGGCTAAGGAGAAAGCGGACTTGTTTGCGTCTCTCTTTGCCTACAATTCACGTCTGGACAGTGGCAATAACGTTCCACCAAAATTAACTCACTGCGGGACCTCTATGTCGGAGATTCGAATAACGAATAAGGAGGTTCTTAATACCTTGCGGTGTCTAGACGTGAATAAAGCTAGTGGACCAGATGGTATACCAGCTATAGTCATAAAGGCTTGTGCACCTGAGTTGTCTCCAGTGTTGACACGCTTGTTCCGCCTCTCATTTAGTACTGGAATAGTGCCAAAATTCTGGAAGCTGACCAACGTGCAGCCTGTTCCAAAAAAAGGCAGCCGCGCCGACCCTGCCAATTATCGGCCAATCTCTATCACCTCCATACTCTGCAAGATTATGGAGCGTATATTGAACGCCCGCTTAATGGCATACCTAGAACAGAATGACCTCCTTATTGACCGGCAATATGGGTTTCATCGAAATCGGTCAGCTGGGGATCTTCTAGCGTATGCCACACACGTATGGGGCGAGGCACTCGAGAGCAGTGGGGGAGCACTTGCTGTTTCCCTTGATGTCTCGAAGGCATTTGACAGAGTTTGGCACACTAGTCTTTTGGGTAAGCTTCCAGCATATGGCTTGTCCCCTGGTCTGATTGAATAGGTAAAGGACTTTCTGAGTGAACGGTCTCTCCGGGTCGTCGTCGATGGCTGCTCATCCGATTCTATGGCGACTAACGCCAGGGTTCCTCAGGGGTCCGTTCTCTCCGCAACTCTCTTCCTGCTGTATATTAATGATCTGCTTATGCCCGGTATCTATGGGTATGCAGACGATAGCACAGTTGTTGAGAGATATCAACCAAGTCCTCGGGCCAGTCGGGATCAAATCCAGTCCGAAAGAGAAGCTATGGTAAAGCGTGTGAATCTCACACTACAGGCAGTCTCCGATTGGGGCGATGCCAATTTTGTGAAGTTCAACGCCTCCAAAACACAAGCGTGTCTCTTCACTGCAAAAAGGAGCCAGCTCACCTTGGCTCCTTCTTTCTGAAATATATCACTGAAATATACCGACTGCCTTCAGTTGTTAGGGTTTGAAATATCCTCAAATTTGAACTTCGGGCGGTTCATTGAGTCCAAGGCCAAAGCAGCTGCAAGGAGGCTGGGAGTCCTTGCAAAGGTGCGGTGATACTTCACGCTGGGACAGCTGCTTACTTTATATAAAGCGCAAGTCCGGTCGTGCATGGAGTACTGCTGCCATATATGGGCTGGTGCTGCAAAATGCCACATAGCAGCTCTGGACTTAATGGAAAGGTGTGCTAAGAAGCTTATTGGTGACCCGAATTTGGTTAAAACCAATCTTACCAGCCTTTCGGTTTTCTACAGGATGCATTTCGGAGAATGTGCGCAGGAATTACATAATTTAATTCCCCCCTCTCCCTTCCACCATCGGACAACCAGACGTTCGGCCAGTCTCCGCTCTTTCGTTGTTGACTTACCACGCATTCAAACCAAACGGTTCGCCACGTCGTTCATCATGTGTACAGCAAAGGAGTGGAATAAGTTGCCAGCATCTGTCTTTCCATCCGATTACAGTGTGGGTGTCTTCAAGGCAAGAGTGAATAAGATTTTGTTAAGTCATTGCGCTTCACCGTCTTAGGCTACATCATCACTTACCATCAGGTGGGATCGTAGATAAGCGCTGACTTAGTAGAATATAAAAAAAAAAACTTTTTAATAGAATAAGGGTGGAAAACTAGCATAAAGTCAACATAATGGTAAATGGGTGCTGTGACTCAAAGACATCTACAATACATCTATACTCGATTAAGAATCAAAATGAAAATGTATTGTTACTGGTGAGGCCTAACATGGCCTTTTTTTATAGGATAAGGGTGACAAACGAGCACACAGTTCACCTGATGGTAAGTGGTTGCTGCGGCCCATAGACATCTACATCTATCCTCTATTACAAATCAAAATGTAGATGCGTTGTCACCCGTGAGGACTAAGATGGAATGCCTCATTTCCAGTAAAAAAGGCCTCCGGACACCTGCACTCACCAAGCGAAACGCAGTGGTAAACCTCTACTTCACGCTGGTTTTCTGTGAGGTCGTGGTATCACCCCGGTTCAAGCCGGCCCACCCGTGCGACAGCTAAAGCTGCCGCGTGGCTCTACCACTGTTTAAAAATTATAAAAAAGGCCTAAGATTATCTTCACTAACCATACGAAGCACAGCAGTATTGAGCTGTTATTTACGTTGTTATTCCACGAGAGCGTGGTCTTTCCCCAAGCAAGCCGAACCATTCGTGCTACAACCTTAAAAAAATGCAGCATGGTTCTATCACATATAAGCATCGTATAGTTTTATCAAAATAATTTATAAAAATTACGTTATTTCCAGCCGCTCACTACGTAAATCAATAACGCGTCACGAGGAAGTGGCGCAACAGTTGGATGAGCTGACTGACTACCGACCGTACTTCACATGGTGGGTGAGCACCGTGCAAACGCTGGTACTGCTGCTTTCGTTGCTCTGCTACGGCTTTGGACCCGTGGGCTTCGGTAGACACACGCATTCCGGCCAGGTGATGGTCAAAAGTCTCAGCTTGCAACAGGTAAGGATGTTTATGTAATATTATACGTTGTATTGCATGTCAATAAAATATATATTATTAAATATCATGAATAAAACCGTGTAGTGGTGGTGTAAGAATATCCACTACCCCATATCATCCAGTAGGCGACGTCAGCGGCCACAGACTAAAACATATCGTTATCAAGCATCTTTCTAATATCGACTAAAGATAAAAGAACTGCGGTTGCTAGCCCTCTTGCCAAGCGTGTCAACTATGGCAAATATCCCTCCTATGATACAATCTATGGCGAAGGCCTATGTTCAGCAGGCTTTAATAGGCTATAACGGTAATGGTAAAACAATATTTTGTACATAAATGTTTAAATAATTTGACGCCCTTAAGCAGAAAAATGGTAATGTGCTATCATGGAGTTTTTACTGTTATGTCAGATTCGTAATCATTCGTAAACAAAACAAAATCGGATTTTTTCTAGTTTTATTTAAGAAGTAACACTTTTATTGTACCCAAAGACATTTAATTATAGAATAATATTTAAGTAGTAGTAATATCAGTAGCAAAATTGTCGTCTGTAACTTATGTCTTATAGGATATTACTCCGATTTTTGTCATTTAGTCTTAGTGACATCGTCAAAAAGTCAAGACGCATTAGTACGTCACAAAGTTTGGATAACTATTAAGACTCAGTTGTCTTTCAAGAATATATTATAATTTTACTAAAACGTATTTAAACATTAACAGTCTAAAAATCACAAAACTAGTATTAGTAATTTTAAATTTAACAACGTTTTTTCTATGAAAACTATTCCTCAACGCTACTTTATGGTACGTTTTATTGCACAGTGTAGTCTTTAATGGGATTATTCTATATTATAATATGCTATTTAAATTAATATTATAACAAGGTTTAATGGATATATTTCTTTTTAAGTTACATTAAGGCAATATTCGTACCAAGCAAGTATTAAATTTAATATAAATTCCACAGCAGCAATAGGATAAGTGATGTTAATGGAAATTTGTGTCACGTGTAAGAATTGAAGAAAAGGGTAGGATAATACTAATATTTTTCCTTCTGAACTTTGCGAAACGCGGATGGGACACTAAAAAAAAATTTACCTTTCGTCTTTCTCTTAATGCCTATATTTATGTAAAATATACAGATTTACGTGGTTTTGAATACGTTAATAATCAATTTTAAGTTGTTTTGTCGTTTAAGGTTAAAAACAGTTTTAAAACCCTTATCTTGTTTGAATATGGGTCCAAAGTCATAAGACACGTAATTTTCTAGTAAACACTTTTTTTTTTGGAAAACTTAGCTGTCAAAAAATACAATCGGTGTAACCACCACAAAACGTTATTATGACTTTAAGGAATGAAAAACAATAAAAATAAAGAATGCCCAAAACATTTTAGAAATTTTAACTTTTTAACTTATCTGTTTTATTTTGGAACACAGTGGAATTACACAATCAGATACTTGAGATTTTTGAGCAGCATCTTATTAGATTTTCTATATTGATTTCTATGTCATATAGAGTTATGATTTTTATGTAACAGTTATGCCTTATATATTAAAACCTACCATACGTTTATATTTCATCAAATTTGATGATACATTAATAAAATTTTATTCCTCGAAAAATCGTCTAGAACATAAATTGAAAAAAATATATTGAAACATAAATAAAATGAAATATTACGATATAGAAATTCCAATATAATGGTGGACGCCAAATGGAAAATACGTGTCCAATAAAAATTAATGTACGAAGTTGCTTTGATTTAATCTAATAATAACAAAGCTACAACTTGTAAATTGAGATTTATTTTGGCGAAATCGCAGAATTCATTTAGATATATCATATTTTAAGCCTTATCATGGTTTACTTTATTTACTAAACTAGCGATCCACCCCTACTTCGCACGGGTGATTTCTGGATCTCGACAACGTACCGGGTCCAATTGTGAATTTTTTAGATCATCTAGGGATCCACTCAAACACACACAAAATTTATAGAAAATCGATCGAGTCATTTTGGAGTTTTAGCGAGACTAACGGACAGCAATTGATTTTTACGTATATTTAGATTTATACAGAAGCGAATAGTAAGTATCTACAAAATTGAATTTTACCGAATACATAATAAAGACCTTAAATACGGAATAAAGACATTTACAGTTTCCAAGACATTGGCAATTGATACTTACGTTGTTTACACTCCAGTAAGTAATTTTATCTACCGTCGCAAGATAAAGCTTGTTCGTAACTGCTCAAATATTTTAAGATAATTTTTAGTGTTTCTATTTTAAAAGCTTCACTGTGTGTAAACAATAGAGCATAGGATAAACGAAATTTAAATAACAATTAAAACTAGGATTACAACCCATAACGTCCCACTTCTGGTCTTTTTCGCTTCTCATTTCTGACATTCTGAGAGCTATGGATCAAATAATGCACGGCGCTGCTTTAGTGAGTATTGGTTCATTTTACATGTCCTCTCAGACGCAAGTCGTAGGGCTTAATGGAGACATCAATCATACATATATATACCGATTAATTTATTGTGCTCATCTATCTATACATATAATAAATCTGTAAATAGCAGATGTCTGTACATTTTATATTTTTGTAATAAAAGTGATTGAGGGGTACTAAAAATAAGTAATTAAATACATTTCTACCATTTTTAGAATTTTCTGTCTGTCTGTCTGTCTGTCTGTCTGTCTGTTTGTTTGTTAACGTATCACGTATAAAGTACTAATTTATATCATAAGAATTGTTAAGGAAATTATAAAGTGTATTTTCGGGTTACATTTAGTCTTTATTTCATTAAAATCAGTTCATTCCATCAAAAGTTATGATAAATATTCTGAAGTATGGGTAGGGAAGTATAGGTACGAATTTGCTCAACGGTGGCTTTGTTTGAGTCATCAAGTGCATTTTAAACTAATATCATATCATAAATCATAGTTAAATTATGTAAAATAATGATATAATTATGTATATCCAAAACGCAGTAAACAAAAGTATTAAAGAACGTATTAAATATATTATACAAAAATATATTAACCTTATTAACTAAATCTGAAGCACAATAGTTAACCCATTTCTTCGATAGATGGTGGTGTTGTGAAAATGTATTGCAATTGCAATGTGGTTTTTTCCTGTAGATGAGTTTTCATATTTACTGCTAATTTTTATTATATTACTCGCTGCCCTACTGCGTGTTGACAAACTCAATTTATTCTTTACCGCCGAGTACTCTATGTGGTAAATCAAATTTTAAAAGAGCTATTAACAATTGCGTTGGTTTTGGCGAGAGTCAAACTTTATTTTTTGCTTACTGTGCAGGCACTGATTTATAAGTTCTCTTGCGTTTTATATAATGTATCAATCGCGTCAATTAATCTCTTTTATTTTTAGAATTGATGTTAGCAGCGCCATCTCTCTTTAAATATATACATATAATAAAAATGATGATAACATGTTGTGTCTCTTTCTGTACATTGTATATATATTTTGGTGGCTAAAATCATTATCGGGAACTGAAAATAATTAAATAAGAACATTTTATAATTTTTAGAATTGTCTGTCTGTCTATTTGTCTGTTATTATATGAACGCATCACATCTAAAGTAAACATCTTTTATTTTCAAAGAAATCGTTAAGAAAATCATAAAGCGTATCTTCGAGTTACATTTAATCTTTGTTTTATTAAAATTGGTTAATTCTATCGAAAGTAATGATTATTATTTTGAAATGTAGGTTCGAATTTGTTCAATGGCACCATAAAATCTCAGAAATAGTAATAAAAAGATTTGTGTGTAAAAAAAACGTTCCATAATAATTAATATATTTATACTTAAAACTCAAAAAGAGATTTAAAAAGGATGTTTTCTCACACAAAGGACGTAATAGATGGAGTTGTACAAATTACAAACTTTTCTGAATTGCTGTGTTGAGATTTTTCGCCGATGAATCGTATTGAGACTTACTGAAGAAATTTGTATCCATCGAAGCCATACAACGGAACCCCACCAAAAATAAAAATTTTGCAACGAAATGTCGTGATATTGTATTTATAATATACGCAAAATCAGTACTGCCATTTTAGCGCTTTGGGAACTAGATTTAGCGCTTTTTTGGAATGTATAGCGCGCATTTCGAAATTTTAGCGCCAAGCTTAATCCAGCGCTTTTTGGTGTATTTAGCACACATTTCAATATTTTAGCGACTAGCGGGTTATTAACTCTTTTATGGCAGCACTGTTAGTACACATTACCGATAAGAATAATAATGACCTTTATTATTTTTTCCCACAAATAGTACATTGCAGTTTATCTTTTTCAAACATATTTTTTCCACAAAACAAAGAGCATGGGAGACGAGTCCAAACTAGGATACCCTGTGCTATGGATCTCCTGGCTTCCCCTTTAGGATGATCAACTTGATTTTTTTACCGACGACTATAAGCGGGGAAATCCCCTTTATTAAAGTTTTCGTTCATGGTTTTTGCAACGCATTTATTTTGCTTTATTCAGTTTCAGTCAGTTGCTTAGAGCACAGCTAAGTTAAAAGTTACTTAGAAGTTATAACACAAAGAAACTGTGTAGCAACCGCAATCAGATGCTGACATCTGAAACTAAGTTGCGAAATACATTGCACTTTAAAACAATTAATGACATTTTTATCGTTCGTACAGTACTAACTACTGTTGACAGCAATTGCCATAATTATAAGTCAATGTCCTGCGAAGTATTGATACATCAAAAAAATATTGCCAGAAAAAAAACTTAATGTTGTTTTCTTTATTATGATTATATAAAAAAACACAAACTTTGTTTGTAGTTAATTTAGCGCGAAATCTAGAGCTTTTTTAAAGCGCTGTTTTCATGAAATTTAGCGCTTTTTGTGTTGTCCTAGAGCTGAATGAGTTTTTTTTTATCTGGCAGCACTGCCCAAAAACCCTCTATTAAGAAGTAACTTTGCTTTCAGTTTTAAGCGCGTTCAGTTCCCA